GGGTTAGAACAGATAAAAGGAAGTACTTCTTCACCCAAAGAGTGATTAACACATGGAATCAGAGGAGGAGGAGGTGGCTACAAGCATGGACAGCTTCAAGAGGGAATTAGATAAGCATGTGGAGCAGAGATCCATCAGTGGCTATTAGCCACAAGGGATAGATAGGAAATCTCAGTCTGGGGCAAGTGATGCTCTGTATTCTTGGTGCTTGGGGTTGGGGCAACTGTGGGAGGGCTTCTAGTGTCCTGGCCCCACTGGTGGACCTCCTGGTGGCACCTGGTATTTTTGGCCACTGTGTGACAGAGTGTTGGACTGGATGGGCCTTTGGCCTGATCCAGCATTGGCGTCTCTTATGTTCTTATGTTCTTCTGTTTCTGAGTTATGTTTTGTAATATTTTGGCAAGGAGCTGGTAGACACTGAAGTGGGAAGGGAATAGATGGATTGAATTTGGGAACCATTCCTGTTGTTCCCAAATTCACTCCGTCTACTCCTATGAGGATCCCATGGGAATAAACGTAGTTTCTGATATATTTGTGTACTTGTGAATAAACTGTGCTGATCTCGGAATGCAGGTTTCCTGCGTGTGGAATCTGGTTCCTGAATTGCGCCCTTCGGCCCAAAGATCGGTCACACTATTGTGTGCCCAACAAGACAGTGATCTCTTCCGCCAACAGCTTATCTTTTGTAGAGAGCCAGGGTGGCGCAGTGGTTAAGAGCGGCAGCCTCTCATCTGGAGAACCGGGTTCGATTCCCCACTCCTCCTCCACATGACGCCAGCTGGGTGACCTTGGGTCAGTCACAAGTTCTCTCAGAGCTCTCTCAGCCCCACCTGCCTCACAGCATGCCTGTTGTGGGGAGAGGAAGAGAATGAGATTGGGAACCGCTTTGGGACTCTTCAGGGTAGAGAAAAGCGGGGTATAACCCCCCCCCCAACTCTCCTTCAGCTCCTCTTCTTATCCTTTTCCCGGAAACCCGATTTGATTTGGATCTCAAGCAAGAATCTTATCTCTCTCTCTCTGTCTGCTGTGGGGAGAGGGGAGCTTAGAATTACAATGGGGGGGGCTTCTGGAGTCCTGGCCCCACTGGTGGACCTCCTGATGGCACCTGGTATTTTTGGCCACTGTGTGACAGAGTGTTGGACTGGGTGGGCCATTGGCCTGATCCAACATTGGCGTCTCTTATGTTCTTATGTCTGGGGCAAGGGATGCTCTTTCTTCCTGGTGCCTGGGGGAGGCAACAGTGGGAGGGCTTCTAGTGTCCTGGCCCCACGGGTGGACCTCCTGATGGCACCTGGTATTTTTGGCCACTGTGTGACAGAGTGTTGAACTGGGTGGGCCATTGGCCTGATCCAACATTGGCGTCTCTTATGTTCTTATGTCTGGGGCAAGGGATGCTCTTCCTTCCTGGTGCTTGGGGGAGGCAACAGTGGGAGGGCTTCTAGTGTCCTGGCCCCACTGGTGGACCTCCTCATGGCACCTGGTATTTTTGGCCACTGTGTGACACAGAGTGTTGGACTGTATGGGCCACTGGCCTGAACCAACATTGCCTTCTCTTATGTTCTTAATGGCAATATACCATGCGTCCGTCTCAGACGTGCCTTCTGCCTGCCGTTCTCTTTGCAGCTTGGCTGTGGCCTTACGAGGAGACAATCCGCAAATGTGGGCGCAGCTGGGTGACTGTCGTACGCCTGATGGAGAAGAACCCGGAGTTCACTTTCGTCTGCTCACAGGTCTCATCGATGTTTACGTGGGCCCGTCTCTCAGTCAAGGTCCACGTGGGTCTAGGACCCTTTTTTCTGGCTCAGAGTTGGCGCTCTCTCGCTAAGAGGGGTTTCGACAGTCTCCCTTTGCCGTATGGCTCGTAGAAATGGAAAGACGTCTCTCACAGAGAGCGAGAGTAGTGCAGCAGTTATAGCGTAGGAATAGGGTCTGGGGAACCGGAGTTGAAATCCCTGCTCTGGCACAAACGGTGGTCCACTCGTAGTCTTTCACCCTAACCAGGGCTTTTTGTGTAGAAAAAGCCCAGCAGGGACTCATTAGCATAATAGACCACACCCAACAGCAGAAACTCATTAGCATATTAGGGCACACCCCCGACAGTGCCGCTCATTAGCATATTAGGCCACACCCACCCCTTCCCTTGGCTTGCCTGGGCAAGCCGGCACGTGCACAAGGAAACGCCCCCCCCCCGGCCAGCCCGCCTCGGAGTCACCAGCGGAGGGGTCGCTCTCCAGGCCTTCCCTCTGTAGCCAAGCACACGCAGAGGTTTTGGCTGTAGTGGGTGTGGCCAACTCCGAAGCCCAAAAATAGCCCTGTTTCTAAAAAATGGTAAAGAATCTTGTGTCTTGGCTGCAGTTCCTTTCATGCATGCTCAGGTCACAGAACGTGCTGTTTGCTCTTAGTGATGCCCCCTGCCCTCTCTTTTGCAGGCCCAGCAGTTCGAATGGGTGAAGAGCCACTATCCCGGTCTGTACACAAAGATTCAAGACTTTGCTAAAGAAGGACGCTTCATCCCTGTCGGGGGCACCTGGGTGGAAATGGTAAGGACACAGAACCCTTTGACCCAGCCCCACTTTCCCAGGAGCCATAGCACTTGGGTGCAGATCTGTCCTCACAGAGGAGGGAGAACTTGTACCTGAATAAAACTTGGTCTTAAAGGTGCCACTGGACTGTTTAAGGCCGGGGAGAGCTCTGCAACTGACCTGGCTGGTTCTTGCTCTGACTGAGGGCTGCTGGGAGCAGGGGGTGGGGCTTGTTGCATGTGCCCGCCCCCTGGGCTCTTTACTGCCGGAGCTCCATTCCTGTGCACTCCTGCAGGACATGACCCCTGGCCATAGCACTTGGGCTCCAGAGAAGGGGCAGCCTGTTGGTCGTGAAGGAAAACACTGGACAGCTTTTCTTTCCTTTTGAAAGGAAGGGGTTGTGTTTCATCGTGGATTGATCTTCCCTCTGATCGCTGGTGTGGAATGCAGCAGAACTGAGGCTAATCCCTAGCTGCAGTGCTTAATTTTCCAGCTGGGGTTGGGTCTCAGTGGTGGAGCACCCGCTTGGCATGCAGAGGGTCCCAGGTTCAATCCCCGGCATCTACAGTAGAATCAGAGAATCTTAGGCCGAGTTCAGACTGGCAATTTGAAGCGCTAGGGAGTCGTGGCAAAGAAGACCCGGAACAGACTGGGAACGGCTTGTTTGCGGTATTCCCGTTCACACTGCAGCGAATGAAGCGGGAGGAATACTGTGGAGGAAGCGCAAGGGGGCGTTCGCACTGTCAGCCCGCTCCTGGCGGGCTGTTAGTGGCTTTCTGCGCTCCACTGCATGCGCCTATGCGCATGGGCACATGGGCGCGTGCTGCGGAAACAGCCAGCGCCTATTATCAACGACTGCGGGTTGTTCGCCTCTTAGTGGCGCTTGTGTTCACACGTCAGGGAACCGGAATCAACCCGCTCTCCACACAGTTTGCTACCACTTCCACCAGGTACTTTTAAAACTCGGGAGGGAAGCGGCACAAGACGGCTTGAGTACGGCTGGGGGACCCCGGACAGCTGTGGCTGTGTGAACCCGCCCCTTTAATCCGCTCCGGAAACGCTCCTGAAACGTTTGGCTGTCGGGCCAAACTGCGAGTCTGAACGCGGCCATAGAGTTGGAAGGGACCTCCAGGGTCATCTAGGCCAACCCCCTGCATAATGCAGGGAATTCGCAAATACCTCCACCCAGGGCTTTTTTTGTAGAAAAAGACCAGCAGGAACTCGTTAGCATAATAGGCCACACCCAACAGCAGAAACATATTAGCATATTAGGCCACACCCCCGACAGCACAGCTCATTAGCTTATTAGGCCGCACCCCCATGTTACCAGAAGTGTGGACATCCAGCCACACTGACCTTTTGCTTTTTATTCTGTTTACCTTGTCTGTTGTCAAAACCCAGGGCTTTTTTTGTAGCAGGGACTCCTTTGCATGTTAGGCCACACACCCCTAATGTAGCCAATCCTAATGAGTTCCTGCTGTTGGGTGTGGTCTATTATGCTAATGAGTTCCTGCTGGGCGTGGCCGACTCAGGAGCCAGCCGGAACTCCGTTCCTGTGCGTTCCTGCCCCCAAAATAGCCCTGCCTCCCCCTCCACACCCCCAGTGACCCCTGTAAGGTCAGGTGATAGGTGATATAGGAGACCTCAGCCTGAGATCCTGGAAAGCTACTGCCACTTTGAGTGGACAATCCTAAACCTGGATGGACCTGGACGGTCTGATTCAGTATTAGGCAGTTTCACGTGTTCATGTATTGTAGTGGAGGGGCCACGGGATGGAGGAGAGGAAATACTGCTTTACACAGAGAGTGATGAAAATGCGGAATTTGCTGGCAGAGGATATAGGGACGGCCACAGGAATAAACAGCCTTCAGCGGGGGTTAGATAGATTCATGGAGATGAGGTCTATCGGTGGCTTCTAGCCATGGTGAATTAGGGGAACCTCCACGTTCAGAGGCACTAATCCTCTGAATCCCGGAGCCTGGAGGCAACATCAGTGGAAGGCCTCGGCCTCTGTGCCCTGTTGCTGGCCCTCCAGAGGAACTGGTTGGCCGCTGTGTGGGACAGGATGCTGGACTAGATGGACCACTGGTCTGATCCAACATGGCTCTTCTGATGTTCTTATGAAGGTTCTCCTTCTTATGTTCTCCTCCGCCCCCCATCCCAGACCACCAGGGAAAGGCAGTGCTGAAGTGTCTTGGAGTGGAAAGATCCAACACATTTGAGCATCGCCTCTGTGCCCTGTTGTTGGCCCTCCGAAGAAACTGGTTGGCCCCTGTGTGAGACAGGAGGCTGGACTAGGTGGACCCTCACTGGTCTGATCTAGCAGGGCTCTTTTGATGTTCTTAGGAAGGCCTCTGTGCCCTGTTGTTGGCCTTCCGGAGAAACTGGTTGGACCCTGTGTGAGACAGGAGGCTGGATTAGATGGACCCCTGGTCTGATCCAGCAGGGATCTTCTGATGTTCTTATGTTATTAAGTGTTTATGTGAATACAAAGGATGAAGCAATAGGCTTTAGGGGAGGGGGCTGTGGCTCAATGCTTCACATGCAGAAGGTCCCAGGTTCAGTCCTCAGCATCTCCAGTTAAAAAAGGACTAGGCAGTTGGGGATGAGGAAGACCCTCTACCTGAGACCCTGGAGAGCCTCTTCCAGTCTGAGTACGCAATACTGGCCTTGATGGACCGGTAGTCTGATTCAGTATAAGTCATCTTCTTGTGTTCACGACTCTCAAGAGAGGGGCCGTGGCTCAGTGGTTTAGCATCTGCTTGACATGCAGAAGGTCCCAGGTTCAGTCCTCAGCATCTCCAGTTAAAACGACCAGGCAGGAGGGGATGGGAAAGCCCTCAGCCTGAGGCCCTGGAGAGCTGTACTGTGGGACTGTGGCTCAGTGGTAGAGCCTCTGCTTGGCATGCAGAAGGTCCCAGGTTCAGTCCTCAGCATCTCCAGTTAAAACGACCAGGCAGGAGGGGATGGGAAAGCCCTCAGCCTGAGGCCCTGGAGAGCTGTACTGTGGGACTGTGGCTCAGTGGTAGAGCCTCTGCTTGGCATGCAGAAGGTCCCAGGTTCAGTCCTCAGCATCTCCAGTTAAAACGACCAGGCAGGAGGGGATGGGAAAGACCTCAGCCTGAGACCCTGGAGAGCCTCTTCCAGTCTGAGTACGCAATACTGGCCTTGATGGACCGGTAGTCTGATTCAGTATAAGTCATCTTCTTGTGTTCACGACTCTCAAGAGAGGGGCCGTGGCTCAGTGGTTTAGCATCTGCTTGACATCCAGAAGGCCCCAGGTTCGATCCCCGGCATTTCCAGCTAAAAGCCACTAGGCAGTAGGTGATGGGAAAGACCTCAGCCTGAGACCCTGGAGAGCTGTACTGTGGGACTGTGGCTCAGTGGCAGAGCATCTGCTTGGCATGCAGAAGGCCCCAGGTTGGATCCCCGGCATCTCCAGCTAAAAGCCACCAGTCTTCTGATGGGAAAGCCACCAGGCTTCTGATGGGAAAGACCTCAGCCTGAGACCCTGGAGAGCTGTACTGTGGGACTGTGGCTCAGTGGCAGAGCATCTGCTTGGCATGCAGAAGGCCCCAGGTTGGATCCCCGGCATCTCCAGCTAAAAGCCACCAGTCTTCTGATGGGAAAGCCACCAGGCTTCTGATGGGAAAGACCTCAGCCTGAGACCCTGGAGAGCTGTACTGTGGGACTGTGGCTCAGTGGCAGAGCATCTGCTTGGCATGCAGAAGGCCCCAGGTTGGATCCCCGGCATCAGGAATTCGGGAAGCTCTGCACTGAGGTAATGAGCTGATTTGCGTTCTTCCCTCTCCTCCTCCTGGGAATGCTCTCCAAAGCTGATACAGTCCATACTTGTGGCTGTGTTTTCAGTCCCCACAGTTCTTGCACCTGAGTCGGCCTCTGTGCTAGCAGCTTATTTTCTGTTCTGGCCCACCCCTCTGTTGCTGAGGTTTACGGCTAACGTGAGTGTGGCGTCCTCGCTTATTGGGGAGACCGTTTCTCCTTTAAAACGCTCTCTGTGTACATGAACTTAGTAGATTTCTGCTGCCACCAGGAATTAAAAATTCCAAATCTCTCTCTTTTGGTAGAAGGACCCAATGTCTGGGCGCTTCAGAGGACTATGTGGCCCTGAGGAAGGACTGTTCTGATTTCTGGGATAAGTTTAAACAAATAACAATTTATTTATCAAAGAACAAAATAGGTTTCTGTGTATTTTTGAACTGACATTGAAGAAAGAAAATATAACTGACAAAGCTTGGAGTCACACGCAGTCTCTTATACACCAAAACTCAACTCTGACAGGCTTCTCTCTCTCTGTGTTATATAGCCACACAGGCTGAACTCTCTTGCTCATATAGCCACACAGGCTGAACTTTCTCTCTCGTAGCCACACAGGCTAAACTAAACTCCAACTGCTTCCTCTGTCATACAGACTTTTAAAAAACTCTCCACACTTGTCTCTTCAAGAACACAGAATCACCTCATAGACATCTCTCCTCTCGCACTCTCAGTCATTAGCCATTCACATCACACTTATCTCCTTCTATCACTCTCCTTACATTACTGCAGTCACACTAAACGTCTAAAGAAACACACACACCAAAACTGGTTGGTTAGTCCAGTATCCCTTCTCAACTTAGCAGAGTGCACCTTGGCTACATGCAGTAGAAAACCTTTGTTGTCAGCGTGCTAGCACAGTTGCAAGTTACACAGAGCCACTTTTTCAGTTTCGAGACTAATAATTGTCCTTTTATTTAGGAACTACATTCTAGATAGAGAAGCTTAAGAGATAGAGGCAGAACTAATCGAAACTACCTTGGGCGGGTCTGGATGCAGAGAGGCATCGAGCCTCCGTTGTGGATGTGTGCGAGAGAATGGAGAGTGTGTTACTTCCTGCCCTGTTTGTATGCTTCTGCAGCGGCATTTATACGCTCACTGTTGCAAACTGTCACGGCAGGGCCAGGGGGCGTGATGCAAGTAAGCAAAGTCCAAGAGCAGTCCGAAGTCAAGCCGAGTAAGACAAGCAGCAAAGTTCAAACAGGTTTAAATCAGAATCCAAAGCCAGGGTCAGACATACCAGAGTTCTATGTCCATAAATCCAAACGATGCCAGAGGAGTCAGAGACGATAGCAGGGTCAACGAAGCCGAGGGTCAAAAGCCGAGGATCAAGACGACAAGAGTTCTGAAGCAGAGATACACGGAGTAGGTCCTGTCAAAAGACATTTGCCAGCACAAGTTCCTTCCAGCAACAGGCTTGAAGATATACAGTGCTGGCTAATTACCTCATTAGCTGGCAGGGAGCGAGGTCAAGCGCCAGTCAATACTCAGGGCTGAGAGATCGTCTTCCACGCATGCGTGCATTCCGGCGTCGATCTCTCAGCTCCTGTCTCCGTTGATTCCGGAGCCTGGTCACAGCTGGTGGTGAATCGGGCGAGGAATCTCTGTGCTGCAGCAAAGCCTGATCCTGTGCAGGTGTTTCCTGGGAGGCTCTATCCTCCTCATCACATAGGGAGGTTTCAGCCACAGGAGCCAGCCTTTGTCTATAAGTCTCTGCTGCAGGACTTTCCTCAGGAGCCTGTGGTGTCAATTCCACATGCTCCTGGCTGGTACTGGCAGGTGCCTCATCAGGGTCATCAGCAGGGGCAGGTATGACACAAACAGCGGATGGTCACCATTGCAAACCAGCGGATCCCCAGTCTGATATAGCCCGGCTTTCGTCACGTTCCACAGCTGTCTCTGACCTCTTCTTCCTTCTCCTTTTGCTGAGCCAGTTCTGGTTGCCGGACACTTTCGGCTACTCGGCCCAGTTCCCCCAGCTGATGCGCGGATGTGGGATACGCCGGTTCCTGACTCAGAAGCTCAGCTGGAACCTCGTGAATGCTTTCCCGGTGAGCAGAAGTTCTTTGGAGGGGTGCGGGGTGGGGGCTAAAGAGGTGCCGGTGTTGTTCAGGACGGTGCCCCAGAGTTTTAAGGGAGACATCGCATTGGGTTGCATTTGTTTCCCGTATCTGAAGACTTCTGGGGAGGCAAGACGGTTTTCTAACTCAAAATGCAGAAGTTGGTGCTTAACGAAATACGTTCAAGCAGCATATGAAAAAAAAGCCAGGGAAACGCTACATCTCATAGAATATGCAAACATGTACGTGAAATAGATGAAAACGCAAATATAACAAGAAAGTACAACAATATATAAATGCAAACAGTGCAACAGGTAGCCAACTAACGAAGGCTCCGGATTCTTCTCTTCGTTTCTTGAATGTCACTTCATCAGAAGTAGGTATTCTTGACACAATCTTGTTGTCCTTATTTCTTTCCACGATGTAGAAAAATCAATTTTACAAATCAAGAGTCTTGTACTATTTCAAACAGTCATCAAAAATCTCATCGGGCACTAGTCAAACATAGCCACTGCTTCTCCATGCTAGAATGCAGTGGCTATGTTTGCCTCCCCAAAAGTGACAGCTTTGTGAGTGTTCATGTGTAATGATCTGAGCCCCTGGCTCAGCGGTAGAGCATCTGCTTGGCATGCAGAAGGTTCCAGGTTCAATCCCCAGCATCTCCAGGTAAAAGGACCAGGCAGTAGGTGGTAGGAAAGACCTTGATGTGTAAGTGGAAGAGCATCTGCTTGGCGTGCAGAAGGTCCCAGGTTCAATCCCCGGCATCTCCAGGTAAAAGGATCAGGCAGGAGGTGATGGGAAAGACCTTGACCTGAGACCCTGGCTCAGTGGTAGAGCCTCTGCTTGGCATGCAGAAGGACCCAGGTTCAATCCCCAGCATCTCCAGTTAAAAGGAGCAGGCAGGAGGTGGTAGGAAAGACCTTGACCTGGGAACCTGGCTCAGTGGTAGAGCACCTGCTTGGCATGCAGAAGGACCCAGGTTCAATCCCCGGCATCTCCAGTTCAAAGGACCAGGCAGGAGGTGACGGGAAAGACCTTGACCTGAGACCGTGGCTCAGTGGTAGAGCCTCTGCTTGGCATGCAGAAGGTCCCAGGTTCAATCCCCAGCATCTCCAGTTGAAAGGACCAGGCAGTAGGTGATAGGAAAGACCTTGACCTGAGACCCTGGCTCAGTGGAAGAGCACCTGCTTGGCATGCAGAAGGACCCAGGTTCAATCCCCGGCATCTCCAGTTCAAAGGACCAGGCAGGAGGTGACGGGAAAGATCCTCTACTTGAGCCCCTGGAGAGGCCGCTGCCAGTCAGAGTAGACAATCCTGACCTGACTAGACCAAGGGTCTGACTTCCCCACCTGGCAGTTCTGCGTGCTCAGCCATGGCCGTCTTCTCCTGCAGCACAACACCTTTTTCTGGGAAGGCATTGATGGTTCTCGAGTCCTGGCTCACTTCCCACCAGCGGATTCTTATGGGCTGGCCGGACACGTGGAAGAGGTGAGTGAAGTTGCCGTGCGGCACCTGTCTCGATTGGCTGTATGTACAACTTATCCTATGACCCTCGGACCTTATCCTCAGAGAACCTCAATTACCTGTGACTGCGTTTTCCTGCTTTTGCTTGGGTTCCTTCCTGCCATTCCCTTTGTTGCCTCCTTCTCTGATGACATTCAGATTGTATGGGGCAGCGAGCCATCCCCCCCCCTAGTCTGTGAAATATTATATTCAGACCCACACACCATGCCCCAGTGTTGACTTCCATAGCTTTCCATAGTATCTTGAGAAGTTTGGCTTTCTGGAGTTTCTTTTTTGAACGTTCTAGTCCTTTAGGTTGTGGAGAACAATTGAAAGACATAAGAGAAGCCATGCTGGACCAGGCCAATGGCCCATCCAGTCCAACACTCTGTGTCACACAGTGGCCAAAAATACCAGGTGCCATCAGGAGGTCCACCAGTGGGGCCAGAACCCCAGAAGCCCTCCCAATGTTGCCCTCCAAGCACCAAGAAGACAGAGCATCACTGCCCCAGACATAAGAACATAAGAGAAGCCTGGTTGGATCAGGCCAATGGCCCATCCAGTCCAACTGTTTGTGTCACACAGTGGCCAAAACCCAGGTGCCATCAGAAGCCCTCCCGCTGTTGCCCCCCAAGCACCAAGAATATTGAGCATCACTGCCCCAGACATAAGAACATAAGAGAAGCCATGTTGGATCAGGCCAATGGCCCATCTAGTCCAGCAGTTTGTGTCACACAGTGGCCAAAACCCAGGTGCCATCAGGAGGTCCACCATTGGGACCAGGGCTCCAGAAGCCCTCCCACTGTTTCCCCCCCCCCCAGCACCAAAAATACAGAGCATCACTGCCCCAGACAGAGTGTTTTACCTATACCTTGTGGCTAATAGCACCAGGGGACTTCTTCGTGGGATATTCAAGGGAAGTGGCATATCTGTATATTGCCACCTTCTGGTTAAGATGGTGTTAAAGAATCTTATTTTTCCATTAAGACTTCAGCAAAAAATTAAGATCTTTGCAATAACTTTGATTAGTGAGCCTGAAGATTGGTCTGTTATCTTGTGGATTGATTTGCTATATTTTAGGACGTTCTTCCTCTTATTTGAGAGCCAGTTTGGTGTCGTGGTTAAGTGCGCGGACTCTAATCTGGGAGAACCGGATTTGATTCCCCACTCCTCCGCTTGCACCTGCTGGTGTGACCTTGGGTCAGTCACAAGCTCTGGCACAGCTGTCCTTGAAAAAGAGCCGTTTCTGTCGGAGCTCTCTCAGCCCCGCCTACCTCACAGGGTGTCTGTTGTGGGGAGGGGAAGGGAAAGGAGTTTGTAAGCCGCTCTGAGACTCCAAGTGAAGGGCGGGGTATAAATCCAATCTCCTCCTCCTCCTCCTCCTCCTCCTCTCTTCCCCAAAGTCTGTTCTTTGATCTCCCGGTCTCTAAACAATGACATCTCAATCAAGGGCTGGTGCCATTCTTATATTGCAGGGAGAAAAGTGTATAAGGTTTGTTTTCTTTATGTCCTTCTTAGGAATGTGGAAGTACTCTAAACAGTGGGCATGGTGAATTATGTCTAAGAACAGAACCGTTGAACTTTCTTTCCCCAAAAAGCCAGCCCTGACTTTTTGCCTGTTTTATCCTATAAAGGAAGAACTTTTATTCTTGTTCAGTATGCCAGCTTGTTTGGGGAGCTTGAGTACTCAGATGAGCTTGTATCAGAATGGTAATTCTTAATAAACGTGGCACACTTTGTCAGCCAAAGCCTTGAGTGGGTCTCCTCTCTCCCAGATTGATCTCGGAGAAGGCGGGGGGGGGTTGTGTTGGTTTTTAGTAAACACCCCTACCAGGGCTCTTTTTGTAGAAAAAGCCCAGCAGGAACTCATTAGCATATTAGGCCACACCCCTGACTGCACAGCTCATTAGCACATTAGGCTGCACCCCCATTTTACCAGAAGTGTGGTCATCCAGCCACACCCACCTTTTGCTTGTTATTCTGTTTACCTTGTTTGTTGTCAAAACCCAGGGCCTTTTTTTGTAGCAGGAACTCCTTTGCATGTTAGGCCACACACCCCTAATGTAGCCAATCCTAATGAGGTAAGTAGTTTCTCCTGTGGGGTGTGGCCTATTATGCTAATGAGTTCCTGCTGGGCGTGGCCAACTCAGGAGCCAGCCGAAACTCCGTTCCTGTGCGTTCCTGCCCAAAAATAGCCCTGCCCCTAACAGATAAAGTTCGAGTCCAGCGGCACCTTTAAGACCAACAAAGTTTTATTCAAGGTGTGAGCTTTCGTGTGCACCTACACTTCCTCAGATACAATGGAATGGAAATGTATGCTAATCTGCTGCTTACCCTCTACCTATACATATGTATGGACTTGTAATTTCAATTTCGTTGTATCTGAAGAAGGGTGTGTGCACAGGAAAGCTTATACCTTGAATAAAACTTTGTTGGTCTTAAAGGTGCCCCAATTGATAAATAATTTTAATAAAAAAGTGACAGCTTACAGATATTGATAAGCAACATGGGTATTTACAAGGCTTCTAGCAGTTTATATCCGCTAGATCAGAGGTCTGCAACCTGCGACTCCGGAGCCGCATGCGGCTCTTTGGAACGTTTGCCGCGGCTCCGGGAGGTGACTGTGACAGCTTCATGTATCCCAGCAGCCCTTGCGAGTCGCCGAATGACGAAATCTCGCAGCTGCGCTTTGGGATGTCTGCGCGCCGCTTTGCCTCCGCCCCGCCTCCTCTCAGTGAGCTTTACGGGATGTAATGCTTTTAGTCCGAAGTAGATAAATAGGTACCACTTCGGTGGGAAGGTAACAGCATTTCGTGCGCCTCGGCGTCTAGTCATGCTGGCCACATGAGCACGGAGAAGTCTTCGGACAGCACTGGCTCTTCAGCTTGGAAATTGAGATGAGCATCGTCCTCTAGAGTCGGATTCGACTGGCTTTAGAGCAAGGGAAACCTTTAATCTGGGACAACCGGGTTTGAGTCCCCACTCCTCCACATGCAGCCAGCTAGGCGACCTTGGGTCAGTCACAGTTCTCTCAGAGCTGTTCTCTCAAGGGCAGTCCTCGAAAGAGCTCTCTCAGCCCCACCCACCTCACAGGGTGTCTGTGGTGGGGAGGGGAAGGGAAAGGAGACTGTAAGCCGCTCTGAGACTCTGAGTGAAGGGTGGCGACCTTGGGTCAGTCACAGTTCTCTCAGAGCTGTTCTCTCAAGGGCAGTCCTCGAAAGAGCTCTCTCAGCCCCACCCACCTCACAGGGTGTCTGTGGTGGGGAGGGGAAGGGAAAGGAGACTGTAAGCCGCTCTGAGACTCT